ACGGCTGCAGTACAACGATTTTCATCCGTCCTCATCTGGTGAGATCGACAAGCGAATCTCTTCTTCATGTCCTTTCATTCGAAATGAAGGTCCCCCTAACAATGTTATCTCAGGAGATTCATGGAAACCAAGTTTCTCTTGCAATAAGTTTTTTTGGATGAGTATCCACTTTTGGGGGCCTAAGCCTGGAAACCTCAACTCAGCGACAAGCCTTATACTCGCCTCCATGCTTGTCGGTCTTACGAGATTCTTTGCAAATTTCGTCATTTCCTTTTTTAATTGAGCCTACAGCGGCTGATTGGTTTCCAAACTAAAGGTAAGTTGCAAGTTTTCGTTTTTAAGCATGCTTTTGATATTACCAGTAAATCATACATATTCACTATATTTCTGTTCAGGCGATAAGGGGACTGGTAGTTAAGTTTCCCATAATTATTTGAGGAGATGTTACGTTCCCATTAAATTTCCTAAAAGATATTCTCATCCGAGCTGAAGTGAACTACCGTTTCGAAATCGTTTAGGTCTCATCATTACCATCAGCTTTACTCGAACCATGACAAAGCAGCGCATAATATCGATACGTTAACCACTATGTCGCATCACCACAAGTGCAGTTGGATCACAGGGCAAATGTGAATTTTAAGGAAGTCCAGGGAGTTTCCCATATTACATTCTGTGGTAGGATTCTCGATGAAGTAATGTTGTATTTGACATAGTAATCGGGCACAGTACTTATTTTCCGTTTGTAAGTAGATTTGCGAGACTACCAGAAACTCATAAATGTGAGATGTAAATGAAAGATTTAATGCAATCTTTAGGCCTAATCATCTAACTTGGGAAAAACTGAACTATCAGTCCTCGTCTGATGGATAGACCGAAGGCGGGCGAGTGGTGAGATTGACGATAATCACGGCAATACAGCAATCAAAGGTGAACTGGCCTATGAGGCTTGTCGTCAGAAGGCGGGTTGAAGAGGGAAAAAAGGAGACCTGATTATCTACTCTTCTTCGTTTGAGTCAGTTGGAAGCCCCCTCGTAATTGCATTTGTATTGCTGTCAGACTAGCCAGAGAATGAGCCATTACCGAGCCACCAGAGTCGATTACGCGCCAGTGACAAAGCACACGATGAGCAGAAGCATTAGCAGAAAAGCGAGGGTAGATTTAAGCGTTCTGACGTAATTGAATGGACAAAGACTGAAAAGGTGCAAGTGAGGATAAAGCAACTATAAACGGGCTAATGCGTAGAGAGGACGATGGCAAGACTGAAATTTTCAACTAGTACAGAATGTGTGTGTATATACGCATGCCTATAAATGTATACAAGTGCATTACAAGTCCAAAGAGAAGGGAAAATTAGGAGATGGAATTACAGATGGAATGAGGGCCGGCAGCATACAGACGTACGGGCGTATGGACAGAAAGGTTGATGGGCCTAGTGGAGCAAGAATAAAGAGAGGGGGCGATAACAGCGTTAACTTGATTGGATAAGCAAAAAAAGTACTAGAAGGTTTATTATCGAGTAACCATGGCTTTGCGATCGATTGTTGAATGGATGGGAAGCAGACATTTGCTGGTGTTTTAGTAAAATCTGATGCAAAGTCTTGTCGCCTTTTTGATCAGCCCGGCTAAGTGTAATCGGAAAATAATGCGCGCATTTAAAGTTGGAGGATAAAACAGAATAATCTCTGGACAAGAGAATAATGACCACAAAGGGTTCATTATTACGATTATGCATTTTCACATGAGTGAGTACAAATTTCGAGAATTCTCTGTGTATACAGTTGCTAAGACGGTTGGCCCGCTCTTGGGTATACACGTGTTGGCGTGCCGCGTTTTCTACCAATTTCTAGTTGAGCCCTGAACGGCTCAGGAGTCTGCATGTGTGAGATGATGCCGCTGGTGTGTGTTGGATACAAGCAGATATTGAACCGGGGTTTGCGGGACAAGGGGTTCTCAGAGGGCTGCGGAAAACAAGAGGTGAACAGTTCACATGCGTGCTAGCCAGAGAGAGGTGACGGTATGCGACTGGGTGATTGGTGGGGCATTGTACGACTGTGCGAGTCCGAGGCTGAGACGAGCTTTCCGGCCCGACGGGGTCACCAACCTGAGGCCACCGGCAACTGCGGGGTCGGCACACTTCTACGTCCTCAACAAGGGATTGGCCGAGCTGAAATCCAACAAAGTCCGACATGACGGCCTGCTCGGTTGTGCTGCCTCCAGCGCCAGTATCCCATCTGTCCTGTCCCCAGCTTGGCAGAGACATCCAAGCGTCTCATGTCACTGTAAATTCAAGTTTACCTGAAAGCCTTCTCGTTAAGACTGTGCTTAAACGGACGAATTTTCAGTGGTGAACACATACGGCGCGCCAAATACATTCGTGGCTAGTGAAAATCCATGAATGTATTCATGCATGTCTCCTTAGTTCATAAATTGTGGGCTAGGATTATACGTCTACTTGTATTGTCGGAGATGGGGAAAATTGATACAAAATGCATGAATAAAAAACCTGTCAAAATAAAAATAAGATGGTCATTTCATTGTCTGCAGAGATAGCATCTAAGCAGAAGTCTCGAACTCGGAGGAAGAGATGAAGAGTACTGATTTCATGGCCTGAGTGGGTAGCAGCAAATGACATTTATAAGTATATATATATATATATGTATGTATGTATGTGTATATATATATGTATATGTGCTAACGAATGGTTTTACCATATCTATAACGAGTCCAAGACTAAAATC